TGTAGTTTTTAGAACCGTAATGTGGACAGTTAGAGAGGAAATTGGTGGGAGATTTGGGAGAATCTACCTTATGTCTGGTACATTAAAATGACATCCTTTTATGATGAAAATAAAAATCGAGAAGGAAAAAGAAACTGAGAAATCAAGGGTAACAATGACAGAGCATTCACCATAACGAAAGGTGTTTCGAAACGAACACACGGTTTGCAGCGTGATGCACAAACACTGACAGAGCAAACCGCACTTCGAACGGGAAATACAGGATCTTATTACAGTCAGAAGCGCTGGCAGATTCTGACTACCTCAATTTCAGATTTATCGTGAAGTACTGACACTAAAATTTACACAAATGGTTTTGAAACTTAAGGAGGAAGTGACACCTGATTAGCGCTCTGTGAGATCTAATCTTCAGTACCAAGAATTGAACCATCTTGGAGCTGCTGTACTATAACTTGTCTAGACAGGTGAATGTGAAATAAAGTATTCGGCACAGTAGTTTGCCTTATAATGGGGTGTAAATAAAAAATATTCATAGTAGTTACTGTCTGTTTTTGCTCTGATAACTAGATAAAGTTAAAACAAAGCCACAACGGATTCGCTGCAACAATTTGTTTTTTTAACAAATTGGTTGAATGATTCAATGACTCGTTCAGGCAGTTCTAGTTTGGTTTCTGATCGAACAAATCATTTGAATTGATAGTTCAATGACTCACTCATAAAGATTGTCGCCACCTATATCCTGCAGAATAGCTACAAAAGCAGACAAGTAAACCCTTACGAAAACGAATCATGGTTTTACAACAAATAAAACCAAAACCCCCAATTATTGTAGTTAAACCATAGTAACCACAAATTTGCCATTATTTTGCTACATTAACCATAGTTTAACCATGGTGTTTGTAGTAAAACTGTGGTTATACAAATGGTAATCAATCCGCTAAAACAAACAAACATGGTTGTTAAAATGGCTGTTGTTAAAATAATATTGTATTAATTAATTCAAAATAAAACTCTAAAAGCCAAACAAGTTGTTTTAAATTCTATATGTTAATTTAGGCATCACAACATTATATTGCACTGTAGAAAAATCAATATTCATTTTGAGATGATTATATGTACTGTATATGTAATACAATTATATGTTTTATTAACATTTTATTAATGTTTTTATGTTATATTGTCCACTTTCATTTTTAATTTACTTAAAGTTCTAGTCTTGGTGTTTATCTCGTCTTTTTTTAAATGTCAAATTTTTTATTTCAGTTTTAGTAATTTTAGTACAGTTATTTTAGTTCAAGATAAAATAAATGAAAACGTCTTGTCAACTAGCTTTTTTTAGTTAACTATAATAACCATGTTTGAAATTTGCTAGATATAACAATGTTATGAAATTCTTAGTGCTTTCAATTAATAGAGTTGCTCTATTAATTAGACATTAGATGAGGGCAAATGTAGTCCAGATCAAGGAAATAAACATGTACAATGAATTAGGCTACTCGTATTTATAATGCATCCCAATTCTGTTATTTATGCCATTCTGTGACGTTTTCTGTCTTTGTCCTTGTCTCTCAGAGTGCAGGTGTGTGCAGGAGAGTGAAGAGTTAGTGATTAATGCCGTGGCCACCATCAACAACCTGTCTTTCTACCAAGGCGAGAGCTCAGTGGTCCGTTCCCAGCACACACACATCTCACAATGTAAGACGAGTGTGTGTGTGCCTGTATGTTGCATCTGTCTTGGTCCTTCAGTAATGTCCCCCTCCTGCCTGTCCTTCTGTCATTGCAGTGCTACTAAAGCTCTTGCTGAGCTCCAGTATGGATGCTGTTTTGGAGGCCACACGTGTGTTTGGAAATCTGTCGCAGATCAAAGACGTGAGACACTTCATCATGCAGCACAAAGGTGTGAGACACTCTCTCTGACACTTTTTCTGTCTCCAAACCCCCAGTGGCTGACGTTTGTGTTGGTCTTTTGTGTCTCAGTGGAGCAGTATGTGGTAACCCTCCTGGACTCCAAGACCCCTGATGTGTGTTTCTCTGCATGTGGAGTTCTCATCAACCTATCTGCAGATCCAGAAAACAGGGCCGTGCTGAGGGCCACGGGAACCGTTCAGAAGTAACTCGCCTCTCTCTTGAGTGTGCTTTCAACTTTTAAGTGTACTGTAATATGTATAAGTACTATGCATTCTCTCTCTCCATAATGCAGGCTTATTGACTGTCTGCGTGACTTCGGGCCTCAGGACTGGCATTTGGCTGCTGTGGTGTGTCAGACTCTGTGGAACTGCTCTTTAGATGGAGAGCTGCAACACACTCGAGAGCTGTTGGAGATCTTGCGGCTCTACACCGGTACATAAACACACAAGCATCAGGACTGGCATTATAGTATGCTAATTTGGTAGAATGAATTACAAAAAAGTGATAAAAGTTATTGCTTGCAACAGTCAAAGATATTCAAATAATGCATGTGTACATGGAAAATAATTAAAATAACAAATTTCACAAATTAATAAAATAGAACTATAATATACATTATATTGTATTATATTATATTAATACGAATATTTACATATATAGTTATATACACATGCATATTATGTGTGTGTGTGTAAATATTTGTATTAATAATATAAAGTAATACAATGTAATGTGTATTATAATTCTATTTTATTAATGACATTTGTTTTATATATATATATATATATATATATATAGTAAAATACATATGTATACATTATAATACATTATTAATTATTATTTATTTAAATTTATATGAATTCAGTTGACAGTAAGTTTGGCATGTACAAATATGACATGAAGAAATCACTTTTGGTTAAATGGTTAAAATTTTTGTATGAACAATGTAGACATTTTGTCCTGTGTTTTGGACAGACAGAGGAGCTTTGCAGTGGTCTTCTGATGATGGAGTCAGACAGGTTCAGGAAGCATGCTGGGAGCTGCTCTTTTTGCCTGTAGCTGAGAGGCTTAGACAGCGTTTTTATATTGAAGACACTACTAGCATCATTCCGTAAGCTCCACTGACACTCCTCCTCTCCAGATGTCACACGCTTGTCTGTGTGTATATATGCATGTACTGTATGTACACCTACAAGCTGAGGAATGAGCCGGTGTGTATATTGCACTTTAATACAATGTCACTTTTGATATTGTGAACATAGGGAATTTGTCAATTATGACCAACACATTTTTAAAATAAAATAGTTCAAATGTTTATTACACAACCTTATGCTGCTGTATAGGAGAAAGCATGAATTGTGTCGGACAGAAGGCAAGCCTATGTTCATAAACACCAAACTAATGTACATGCAAAAATCACTCAAGAGCATCTCTGTGATCTCAAAGACACTTCCAGAAAAGTCTGTAAGGAACACAGAATAGAAACATTGTCATACTTCCTTAATACAATCACATCAAACTGATATATTATGGCACTGGCTTCCCTCCTTTTAACAGGTTACACTTCACGGCTACAGTCTATACATTAATATGAAGTTTACAAAGCTGCCCTAGAGGTCATTTACATACATGCTTAAAACCAATGACCAAAATGGGATTGTGAAGTTTATTCAAATCACTCTTTACTGCGATTTAACGTTTTCCTCTCAGTCTCTATCATGTGAAGTCTGAAGCGGTTTAACTCCTGCACAACATCCAAGGGATTGAGGGGAACCCAACTTCTCGCATTATTCTTTTAAAATGAGCATCAACTAGCCTATGGTGATTTCCATTTAATGGCACTAAATGACCACCAGCCTCATAACCACAAACAGGGAAAATTTCCTTATGGTTCCCAGGTCAACAATGTTGCTTTCTTTAATCCTCACTGTAAGAGGACGAATTGCCGCATTCAACATTGTGTTTAAATCATTAGTGCACAGCAGGGGATGCTTTTCTATAGGCCTGTAGTGTCTGTGCTGATATATCACTTTGCTACAAGGGTCTCTGCTGGTGGGTGGACATAAAAACATCGATTATGTGACCTAAAAGCTATATAAATGATATCTTAAAGTGTGTTATTGTTAATTAGCACAAAAATAACCGTCAGTTCTCGTGGTATAAGGTGTTTGGACTGTTCAAATCTTATTTAATACTGAATGTTTGGGGTAATGCATCATCCTAATGTGACTTTTTGGGAAGAAAACAGAAAGTTTGATTAAATTACAAATGATACAACCAGTGAAATACCATGTTTTATTTTTTTTAACAAATAATTTCTTATAAAATTGTCAGTAACTGACATCAGTCTCTCAAGTCTGACTTAAAACCTCCTCATATCCATCTCCAAAAGAAAAAGTACCATCCCTCTAGTCCTGCCATCATCAGAATGCAGTACTTAACTAGTTTAGTAAACAAAAAAAGACAGCAGAGAATCCACTCCGCTTGAAAAGAAAACACATGCGCACACACACACACACTCGAAACAAAACTGTTTAGTTACACTGGTTAAAGTTCTGATAATGAGAACAAGCATGGTGTAACCCCACAAGCGTGCGGGTCACCTGGTTCAGCGTCTAGCTCTGTACAGACTGTAGCGCATGACAGGCAGCCACGTAAGACAAAGTTCTGCTCACTAGACAGCACTTAGATATTTAAGGATACATAACAGGAGGTATTTAGTTATAATAAACCCCAAAATAATGGCCGTGCATTCAAAGGAAGACAGATAAGGCGGATGGATCACAGCAACAGGAAGCACATTACAAAAGGAAGACCTTTCCGCGTTGAAAGTCACTAACACAAATAAAAAAAGATAGAAAATGGCTACATAAAAGCTGAAGCTTAACATTGTTTAAAAAAAGTGCTTTGATATTTTTAATGCGTGAAACCCCAAAAAGAGCCTATGTTTGGATTTTTTTTCTCTATTCCCCCCATAGCATTCACACATTGGAAATGTCACAATGAAACAAAGTGGTGTCTTACAGTAAACTCCAACAAGGGCTCAGCTATTACTTCTGAATTGCGCTCTCACACTCACACTAACACAATCGTTCCTGGATTAGCTTATATAAATGGGTGATGGTTTGGGTGTCTTGAGGCCTCTCAATTGAGAAAAGCAGCATGAACAGATGGCACCTCAGCATCTGTTGCCAGTGCTGCGCATGACTTGGCACGCGTTTATGCAAAATCAGTAATGCTTCTATCTCTAGCCACTGCTGAACAAAAAATAAAAACAATATGGAAAAAAACACTAGTAGATAGTCATGTTAGTGCAGTCTTTCTGCACTGGCGCTGGAGTTGCCATTTGTGTGTGTGTGTGTGTGTGTGTGTGTGTTTTTTAAATCACATCTCACAAAAAGAAGATATGATTATATGGCATCTTATCGCAGATGCATTTGAAATACTAAAGGAGGTCTGGCCTCCAGAAGCTCCGCAGTCTTAGCTTGTCCTCTTACACACTAGAGGGATTCTGCTCAGACGGCCCCACTCCCCCCAGTGGCCAGTTTTGGCACCGCAGGCTGAGCAGCCACACAAGTGATTCAGCAAGTAGGTTCAGTTGACAGTTGTTTTTTTTTTCCTTCTTTTAACAAAACAACCTTGTCATCGCCCTCCGCCACCACCCGTTCTTCTTCTTCCTCAGTTGTATTTTTTCCATTTTTTGTCATTTTTACGTTTATTTAAGTGTCCAACGTCAACAACAGTAAAAAAAATTAAAAAGGTAGACAAGAACAGCACTTCATGTCATGTAGCGAGTGATAGCTCTCAGAGCGTAGAGCAGTTCTGCCTGCATGTGCGCTTCCATAAGAAGCAAATTAATGTGGACCTGAAAGACAAAATAAAAGAATCATTATTAACTTGTACCGAGATGATTTAACCTTCAGAAAGAACCTGTTGTCTGTTCATTTTTTTGGTCTGAAGTGCTTCTTACTTTCTCAGAGTGCTGGAACTGCCTCCAGAAGCTGTCGTACATCCTCTTGGTGATCTTCTCTGGAGTGCGCACCATAGTTTTGATGTAGACTTTAAAACTGCGGTCTAGCAGTTGGTTAATTTCTCCATAATCATAATCATCGTACCTGTCGTGTATTAGACAGAGAAAGAAAGATACCTCAGCAATATGATTTAAATAACTAAATACAACTAATATCTAAATAATATCTAAACAAATTTAAATAAAAAGCGGACTTACCGAATCCCGAACATGCAGTGGATGTAGTTCCAGATGGCTCGACGAAGCATGGAAGTGTCCACACCCTGGTGTGTCGCCATTGTGTTGTACGTCAGATTGTATGCGATCTGGAACTTTTCATCCAGAAGCTGTCCAAAATCCGGATACAGCCGATTCACAAGGGAAAAGCCATGATCTTCCCAACTATAGTCCTGTCAAGGGCAGAAAATATCAGATTTTTGTTATTTTAGTCCTCCATTTTCTTTCGACTACCAATGGCAACAAGCAAGACAATGCGACTTTCTTCTCACCTGCACTCTGAGGGTGGGTACATGTTCTCCTCTTCTGTAAAAGTCCTTGTAGCCATAACTAGGGTCTTCGAAGTGTCGTGAAACATCTCTGGATGGTATACACTCCTCGTCCTCTGTTGATCAAACATGTTGTTTTAACAAAAGTCATCCTGGAATTGTTGTATGAAACAAACCTAAAAAAAAAAATAAAAAATCCACTTACCAGAGGTGACCACCAGCATGCTCTCGGTCTTCTCCCTCTCAAAACGAGTGGCCATTTCCTCCTGACTGGCTTCCTCTTCGTCATGACATTCCTGGAGCTGCTTCATCTTCTCCATCAGCACTTCCACCTCACCAGACAACTCAGACACCTAAACACACGCATACAGGAATCTAGGTCATCACAAGTTTATGTACACTCTATGGTCAGGAATTTTAACCTTGCACTCCATGCATTCTACAGATCCCTTTTCAGGACGACTGGATGGAAGACTAGCAAATATTAGAAAATCTTCTTTGAATACATTTCCCTTTGTCTCACCTGCTGGTTCCCAAACATCTCCTCTAGGGCACCGTTGCCATTGGCAATGTCACAAACGCAGTAACCGCTGAGCGAGGGTGGCCTGAATGTATGTCCTCCATCTGTGTGGATGTCAGGGTTGATGCCGCAACCAAACGTAAAGGAGGCCAGAGAGTGATAGAGTGTGAGTAGCACCACAACATGGATCAGCTCGGCCAGCGACCAGCTGTGCTCCTCTGCCTTCAGTAGACGCTGTAAAAAAATTTTTTATAAGGTTAAATGAAATGTAATAGTGTCCACAACAAAGAAAAGGAAAAAGATTTGAAAAGTCTAATTCTTAGAAATGTACTCTTGGTATTCGTGTTGGTTTCAGGTGGTTTTGAAAAACATTTTCAAGAAAAGTTTAAGTTTAATGACTCATGTCGTAACCATCAAGTAAAAAGTAATAGCATATTTTCCATACACAGGGAATACATGTGAGTGCACACAACTTATTTACTATTTTCAGTTTTTTAAGGCAAGGACTTTTCTTTACAAATATGAATTATTCATTCATAAATATCCCAATTTTAGGGGGAATCACACATTTGACAAATATTTTCAAATATTAAAATATTAAGCTGTGAAGCATTTTTTTTTCCCCAAAGGAATATTACATAAAACTATTAAATACAGCTTTCTTTTCAAGAATTTCAATCTTTAATTAGACTTTAAAAAAAGAAAAAAATGATATTATGATATTGTTTCTACCTGACATTTTTCATATTAGGCACCCCAAATAATATCCAAACAAATATTTATTCAGAAATTAACATGCTTTTAATTTATGGAATTTAATCAACATGATTTTAATAAATTAACATACTTTTAATTCAATTTATGCTTATCAGAGAATAGGATCATTCAAATCACTGTATGTACTGTATGTTAAATAAATGCGCAGATTTGCCACAAAAAAAAAACAGTGCCATGTAAAAGGCACATATTATTATAATTCAATTACAGCTAATAAAATGAATATCTACTGAAACCTGACTGACCTAATACCTAATAGTTGTCTCTAACAGCATTATAAAACTTCTTTGCGCTTGTTAGAGTTGCGTAACAGCTGTAGGTGAGTATCCCATGTGTGACTGTGAGGTTGAAGTCATACCTCAATGTGTTCTTTGGTGAGCAGCCAGGGGCGATGGGCCAGGATCTTATTGAGCTCCCCAATAGCCTGCAGCTTCTGTGGGGCTTCTTCCAGACCATTCAACCACTTGGGATCACCTCCGACCTGCAGGAAGTCATTCACGTGCAGGTTGACCAGATACGTGCACTGGTGCCTGGCAGCAGCCTGTTGAAGTCAAATGTGCATTTAGAAAAATCTATCAATGTGATTTTTGAGTTGAATACAAAAATACATTCTGCAGTCTCACCATTATCCCTATGTAATGTCTGCAGTGCAAAGACAATGGACCGTCCATCTGAAGCAGGTAATGCTGTGTCTTAAGAAAGCTCTCCAGATACTGAGGATGGAACCCCATCACTAAGGAGATGTTGTCAAGGCGACCGAGCACTGCAAAGGCGTCCTCAAAAATCGACTGTATTCTTTCATCCAATTTACTGACTTGAAGTATCTGGGACAACAGGGGAATAAAGATGATGTAAACCTGGGGAATTCGGTACTGTTAAAATAGTTTCACTAGAGAATGTGAGGAGAAACGCTTTTAATGCCAAAAAAAGTGTGTGGGGGGTGGGTTCAATTAGTTGATTAAAATGGTTGGAGTAAGATTGATGCCAACTTTAAATCCAGCAGGGTTTATGTTAACACTAACCTCTTTCTCTGGTATGAATCTACTTGGTCCATTTCCCACCGGTCTGGGGATTCGCACTCCAACGTCCTAAAAAGTTCAAAACCAATAACATGATTACAAGATCGACATACATGTCAAACCCCGAGAGAAGCACTTGGCATGAAACTGCGATTATTATATCGAAGAAATCCTGGCATCAGACTGAGAGCTCTTAAAAACAACATCCTTCCTCAGCTCAAATATCAATGGCTGGTTATAGAAATTTCTCTGGCATGGGCTAGAAAATAAATTCTTCATAATACATAACACAATACATAATGCAATCAGTAACAACAGTCAGACCTTGAACATCATTCATCTCTTATTGATACTATAGAAGCTGTCAAAGGCACAAAGAGAATGATTCAAAACAACCTAGATTCACTATGAACAAAAAGGTTGTCCGAGTTAGCAATATACCAGTGACATAATCATGCCAAAATAGCTGACTCAGACAGGAATATGCAAGCAATCCTTTAAAAATACATTATTGAATGCTATTAAACTTGACGCCGTGAGCAATTCAGTCTGTCCCCTTGCAGCAACATACATCAGTTCCACACAATGGCAATCTTGCATATATCATTTTAGTGCGTTGCTTGAATAAAAAACAGTATTTAGACAATGTGACACTGACTTTAATACTGTCAGTCATTGATAAAAGACGAGCGTCTATTGATCCGATGACAGAAGACAGAAAAACAAGCCAGCAGTGTTCGTGATGCAAGTACAAAGAACGGACTGCACTGCAGCAAACGGACTCAATAAACGGACAATATTTAAAATCAATGAAAAAAGTAGACTAACAAAACAGGTTAACTAAAGGCACATCTGTCATTAGATAAACTCGATGTCAAGTTCTTATTCGCTTTCTTACCTTTTTACTAAGCCGCTCGCACTGTGTGCAAATTTTGAACAAGTCTGTCATGGTGAGATAGTTTCATTAGATGCCGATGCGTGCCTCATATTGCGCTTTTCTGCTTCTAAATAAAAAATTAGAGCGACTATCTTGTATTTGTTTTAGCTCCCGTTGTTCCTTGAGGCATTTGGTGACGTTACCCGTTCATATCAGCTGCTGAAGCTCCCGAACAGAATACCCACTCTTTCCTAGCCCTCTTGCGGTAAATAACAGGCTGTAAATATGACTGACGAGCCCAGTAGCCAATCGCGTTGCGAAAACAACCTACGTTGTCCAATCAACGCCAAAGAGGCGGGGTTAAAAGAGACTTAAAACGGTAATTCACGCAAAAAATAAAATTCTGTCATCATTTATACACCAACGTCGTTGCAAACCCCTTTCATTATTGAAAAGAACATGTTAGGAAGAACGATAGCCATTTGGATAAAAGATGCAATGAAACTTAATAGTGACCGTCTCACGTTCTGCCTAACATTTCCTTTTGTTTCACACAAGAAAGTCAGTCTTGGAACAACATGAATGATAGCAAATGACAGAATTTCATTTTTTGGTGTGAACTAAACATTTAAAACGTTTTATTTATATATATTTATTTAACTGATTTATATGGAAATTGTCTACGAATTGTTGAGCTGATCTCAATGCACTTTCTTTGCTTTCTAATGTTGGTTAATACTTAACAGACTTTTAACTCGGCCTTCCAATAAACCTATTTACATAATCATGATTTGTCTAGTCTATATAACATTGTTACCTCAAGCCGTTCCACCTGCCCGGTGAAAGGGACAGATTTAAGTAGCCTAAGCAAGTGGGAGGGGATGTTTTTCCTTGAGCAAATGCCAACTGCAGTAAACAAGCCCCGCAACGTGAATGAGGATGATGACATGGACTACAGTGAAAAACAAGCCAAGATCAATTCCTGCCGTCAGCTTTATATGCCCCACAGGGGACATGTCAAGGCACCTAATAGATAAAGTGACGCTTTTGGCTCAGAGATTGATTATTTTCTAGGGCGAAAAAAAAAACCTTCTACAGGCGCCTTGGTTTTCAAATGACTAAACTAAGAAAAAGTAATTTGTCAAGATGATGCAATGCACTTTAGAATTTTGTTCATACAGTTGAGCTTCAATCTTACCAACATATTGAATGATTCACAACTAAAGCATAATGCATAAAGCATAATGTCTTATATTTCCTTCTATATGCTGAAATGCACTATTGTAGAATATATTGTGGAGTAATAAAGCCCAACCAACATGAATTAAAGTTCTGTGCACGAGCAGAAGGCTGTCAAAGCGTGTAGATTTGGCATTGCTCATGAGATGAAGAGTAGCTATTCAGCATGTTCATTGTGTCTGAAGGGACTGTCCTACATCGGGGGGCTGAGGGGGTGTAAACAGACCAGAGCAGGAGTCAGCACTCTCTCTGGTGATAGGGGGTGGTTAACCTGGCTCACTGAGCCCTATGGCTCAGCAAACCTACAGAAGAGAATGGTCAGCGTTTGCCTTGCGCCCCCCTCCCCCAGGGCACCCTTTCCTCTCTTTATTAAAAGAGCCATAACTATTATCTTAGAACAAACTTCAGGCTTTACTGTATCCACACCGTATCATAACATTGGGCTCAGCTGCTCAGTTGGTTATATCTATGGAAATAGACTACAAAAAAGTGGAAAGACTCCATTCACATGCAGAAGCAAACCTAAAACACAACTAATAATAAAAGCTTTCAAAATGATAAGCATAAATCTTGCTTTTAGAGTCATTTTAAGTCCTTTTTCCAGTGTATTAATGAAGTCATTTAAGCATCACACAAGAGGAACATGTCCGGACATATGCATCTGATATACTTAGAAGAATATACAAATGATCAAATTTCATTTTTTGTACCAGTAAAACACATTAAACAAGGAAATGATCATTTAACAGATGGAAGTCTATTTTATTTCTGCATTTTCTACACTTTTATGAATTTTACTAAAACTAAAATATTTTGCCATATATACAGTGGCATGTGAAAGTTTGGTAACCCCTTGCAGAATCTGTGAAAATTTGAATAATTTTAACAAAATAAGAGAGATCATACAAAATGCGTGTTATTTTTTATTTAGTACTGTCCTGAGTAAGATATTTTACATAAAAGATGTTTACATTTAGTCCACAAGACAAAAATAGCTGAAATTATTAAAATAACCCCATTCAAAAGTTTGGGAACCCTTGGTTCTTAATACTGTGAGTGGTTACCTGGGTGATCTATGACTTTTTTTTGGTTTGTGATGGTTGTTCATGAGTCCCTTGTTTGTTCGGAACAGTTAAACTGAGCACTGTTCTTCAGAAAAATCCTCTAGGTCCTGCAGATTCTTCAGTTTTCCAGCATCTTTTGCATATTTGATCCCTTTCCAGCAGTGACTATGATTTTGAGATCGATCTTTTCACACTGAGGACAATTGAGGGACTCAAACACAACTATTAAAAAAGGTTCAAACATTCACTATTGCTCCAGAAGGAAACACGATGCATTAAGAACCGGGGGGTTAAAACTTTTTAACAGGATGTCAAAATGAAGATGTCAAAATTTTTCTTATTTTGTTGAAATATTTTTTTCCATTTAGTACTGCCGTTCGGAAGCAACAGAAGATACTTGCATGTTTCCCGGAAGACAAATTAAGTACAATTTACCTTGATCTTCAAATTCAAAAAGGCTCTTAATGCATCGTGTTTCATTGTGTCAAAAAACAGTCGTAGATCATCCAGGTAACCACACACAGTATTAAGAACCAAGGGTTCCCAAACTTTTGAATGGGGTTATTTTAATAATTTCAGCTATTTTTGTCTTGTGGACTAAATGTAAACATCTTTTATGTAAAATATCTTACTCAGGACAGAACTAAATAAAAAATAACAGGCATCTTGCATGATCTCTATTATTTTGTTAAAATTATTGACATTTTCACAGATTCTGCAAGGGGTTCCCAAACTTTCGCATGCCACTGTATATAATTGCATATAATCAGCAGTTGTCTTATTTGGGTTTTTAGAACCCCAAAATATGTGCCTGTAAACATTTCACTGCTGTTCTTGTGATATGGAAATACAGTGGCATGCGAAAGTTTGGGAACCCCTTGCAGAATCTGTGAAAATGTCAATAATTTTAACAAAATAATAGAGATCATGCAAGATGCCTGTTATTTTTTATTTAGTTCTGTCCTGAGTAAGATATTTTACATAAAAGATGTTTACATTTAGTCCACAAGACAAAAATAGCTGAAATTATTAAAATAACCCCATTCAAAAGTTTGGGAACCCTTGGTTCTTAATACTGTGAGTGGTTACCTGGGTGATCTATGACTTTTTTTTGGTTTGTGATGGTTGTTCATGAGTCCCTTGTTTGTTCGGAACAGTTAAACTGAGCACTGTTCTTCAGAAAAATCCTCTAGGTCCTGCAGATTCTTCAGTTTTCCAGCATCTTTTGCATATTTGATCCCTTTCCAGCAGTGACTATGATTTTGAGATCGATCTTTTCACACTGAGGACAATTGAGGGACTCAAACACAACTATTAAAAAAGGTTCAAACATTCACTATTGCTCCAGAAGGAAACACGATGCATTAAGAACCGGGGGGTTAAAACTTTTTAACAGGATGTCAAAATGAAGATGTCAAAATTTTTCTTATTTTGTTGAAATATTTTTTTCCATTTAGTACTGCCCTTCGGAAGCAACAGAAGATACTTGCATGTTTCCCGGAAGACAAATTAAGTACAAATATTTGAACCCTTTCCAGCAGTGACTGTATGATTTTGAGATCGATCTTTTCACACTGAGGACAATTGAGGGACTCAAACACAACTATTAAAAAAGGTTCAAACATTCACTATTGCTCCAGAAGGAAACACGATGCATTAAGAACCGGGGGGTTAAAACTTTTTAACAGGATGTCAAAATGAAGATGTCAAAATTTTTCTTATTTTGTTGAAATATTTTTTTCCATTTAGTACTGCCCTTCGGAAGCAACAGAAGATACTTGCATGTTTCCCGGAAGACAAATTAAGTAAAGGCTCTTAATGCATCGTGTTTCTTTCTGGATCATTTTCTTACATATATACATGCATGTGTGTGTATTTATATACATAAT